TGCGAATGCAAATGTGCTCATGTTCATGCAGATACTATAAGCATGTACGTTAGACCGTACCAGAAAAAAAAGTTTGCCGCAAAACCCTTGAGTTTAAAGTATTTTTGCAAAGAGCAGAGTTTCAAAAATAAATTATTTGGTCTTATCTTTTCCACATTTACAGTCTGATATTAGGATATCGATGTTCTTGCCTCGAGGATGCATTTATTTTCACCCCCAAAGTTCACTGACCTCAAGTACGCCGTTCTAGTACTTATACGCCAGATCTCAGTCCATAACAACCTAATGTACTAGCCCAATGTCAATAAATTAAAGCTCTCCAAAAATCATTAAGCTTTTGCTAAGAAAGTATGTAGGTACATATGTACTTCGATTCGAAGGCATTTTGGATTCCTTGTTTTTTTAGTCGAACGTCATTTTGCGTCATATTTTCGGAATTTACATTCGGATTTTAGTATGGTGTATCGATGTTCTTTTCTCGAGGAAAATTTTTTTGTATCAAACTTTATTGACCAATCTAATACTTACCCTCCAGATCTCAGTTTTTATCAACAAAAAACCACACTAATGTCAATAAATTAAAGCTCTCCAAAAAGAAATAACTCTTGCTAAAGGTTTTGATTATTCCATTAGAATTATTTAAAACAAAAAAAAAAAAATATTGCCGAATGTATGTAGATGTTGCCGAAAGATGTATAAATTCTACCCTAGGTTCGGCCAAAATAATTTTTTTTTCGAAATTCCTTGCAATACTTTATATTTAGGGGTACCGCGATTTTTATTTTTTTTTGCTTGCTTGTAAGTTGGTACGACCTAATGTACGTATGTAGTTACAATGTTACATATGTACATATATAGTGTAGTCTCAATTATAGGCAGTTGTAAATATGTAAAATCATTTTATGCCAAAGGCACTGTCGCCTTCCATGTTGTTAACCTTCAAAACGATGTACGAGTATGTATGTACTACGTGCATATACTATATGTTCATACATATGTGCACTTTAATATTAACGCGTGTGTGTAGGGGTAAATATTTTGGAGACAGAGTAGCCGCCTAATAAGAAGGCCAACGGTATGCCATGAAGCAGTTGTGAGCAAGCACGCTGAGATGCAGCACAGAGAGTCAAATTTAAATGGCGAAATTATCGAAAGAAGTCGGCCGTCGTAGTCGAGTTTTTTAAATATCTGTAGTCGGCTTAATATCTAAGTATTTTTTCTATCAACGATGGTCCCACGACTGCAAATGGAAACATACGAGTGTCGTAAAGAAGCTTCTTCCAAAAAGCCATTTGCAGTTTGAGACTTCCGTAAAATTATAAGTTCCTTCATTAATCTGGCAACGCCGAAATGCTCACAATAAAATTAGAAAAGAAGTTTGGAAAAATACTTAGAACAACTTATAGCGAGAAAAACCATAATTTATCTTGGCTAAATTGAAATATCTATCCAAAGATGATCAGGGTATATTCGTAATCATACATACATATATTTACGAATTGACGCTTTAAATATTCGCCCATAACAGGAGTGTACTACCATCACTACAAAGGCCATAGAAATGCCTATTGACCCACAAACATTTAAGCTCCGTATTTATGCAAAAGCCTATAACAGTTTACCTGCTGAGTATTATCCTCAGCGGAACTCAGATAATTGCAACCAAATTTTGCGCACTCAATACCTTGCAGAGCACGTTGTTATAATCTCTCATAGCTCTATTGTTTACGACATTGTTGCGCACTGCCGCAGTCACTTATCATTGCAATGTGCTAATTGTCAAACGAGCGAGCGAGCAAACGCTTATTGCACGCCATTTAATAATTACCACTGCGTCATGGTCGCTCGAACGCCTGCATCGATTGTGGTGACCACATCCGCAATTATACCATTGGCCTTTGACTAGGCTCATTTTGTTTTTGTTCGCCACTAATCGGGTGCGTTTCTAGTTGCAGTCCACTGGTGCTGATGCGCTTACCCTTGCTCTTGCTGTTGCTAAGCTAGTTGATTAGCAAACAATCATTACACTGACCCATTGTAGTGGACAACTACCGATTGTGACAGGCAATTACCAATACACATGGATAGCGATGTTGGAGTGAAATCAAGTTTGTACCCCAATTTCGTATCGACGTCATTTCCGACACGTTCTGGTGAACCAGTTGTTCGCCAACGAACTGCAAAAACAAGATACTAGCGAATTGCAAAACGATGCTCAAAATCTTTAACATAAACAACATAAATCCAATTTCAATTTGTGTGCAACACTAAAAAAAAAAAAAAACCAATCAGCGAACTTTGCTAAACTTGTCAATCTGAATCAAAAGAAAAAATATAAAGCAGTTTTATAGTTCATCAAATTTTTGTGAAATAGAGTCAAAATTTTGTATGGTAACAATGAATCCGATTTGACGTCGTTTCGAGTTCACCAAAACGACGTCACCGAACCGGCGTCGTAATGACTTCAAATCGATGAGAAAAACGAAGTAGGAATGACGTTGCAGTTTGTATGCAAAAACAACTTCGTTTCGAGTTCACTTAACCGACTTCAACAAACCACTCGTCTTCGCTTTGTGGCAAATTGGGTACTTATAGCTCAAACTCAGAAACGCAAAACTCGAGAAAATGAGCTTTAAAGTTTTGAATTTACATTTACTCCCATAGTAAAAATTAATACATATTTTGTTCTAGTGAGATATTGGTAATAGATACAGCTAGTGTTGGGCAGTATCGATACCAAAAGTACTCAAAACTCGATTCTCAGAAGGACACCCGACAGCACCCGATTTTTAAAAGTATCGATACTGAGTACTCCAAAGAGCAGAGTACTCACAAAAGAACTCGAAAGTACTTAGTACTCAAAAATACTTTGTTCTAATAATCGCTTTGATACTTGTACTCAAGATCGATTCAAAGTATTTAGTACTAAGTGTCGAATAGACCTAAAAATTACTGAATTTTATTTATATTTAACGGTAATCAGAAATGATTGTACACAATTTGCAGTTTCAATAATTTTCAAGTACAATACTTGTACCCAGTACAGTTAGCAATTCATTTGACGTAATTTGGGATTCATATATTAATTTGAATAAAATACTGGCAGTTTGTGAGTTTTCTACACTAAGTATTGAAATGTTACCAACATGTGTAAATTTAAAGAAAGTACTCAGTACTCTGGAATACACCCGATCTTTAAAAGTATCGATACGAAAGAACTCGATCCTCAAAAGTACTCGATACTTCCCAACACTAGATACAGCTATAAAATTTTTACACAGAATAGAAGAAAAGGTGGCGGTAGTTTCTGCATACTCAAACAAAAATTTAAATTTTTTGGATTATGGCATTATTGAAGTAATGAAGTAGTTGAGATACACTACGATTTTCCTCCTAATGCTGGGTTTCCACCAGGCACTAAGTGACAAAAAATTTAATGGCAAAGTTGGGCATTAAAAAATATTCGCGGCATAAAGTCAAAAAAATACTAATTAAATTCATTTACACATGGCATTCTTTAAATGGCTCTAATTTTTTGTCATTTCAGTGCCTAGTGGAAATTCGACATAGGTTTCACAATTTTTTTATAGAAATAAGAAATTTTAGGTCTGAACAACACCGATTGTTTAATGAAAATCTATTTTCGCCTGTTATTATCCTCTTATTTTCTTTGCTGTAGTTCTTCTGACTTATCTTTTGCACATTTTAAGAATATTGCGTGCAAATAATTGGTAAAGTTCACATACCAAAGGATATCATGCTCTCCTTATTTATTTTTGTTGCCTTTCTTGCTTTGAACTTTTTCAACAAATAATTCAACAGTTTTTGCTCGTCTAATTTTTCCTCATAAATTTTATGTATTTAAAGAGTTTATTATTGAAATACACACAGTGTATGTATGTATATACATACATATCGCACAGGATATTCAAAACTGACATGCTAATTATGTGGGCAAGGAAGACTTTACCTTGGGCTTTTTCTACATAGTATAAAAAAAATTCGCTGAACGCTAAATAAAAGCTCTGTGTATATTTTTAGTGCATAATCTCAGAAGTGCCAAATTTTGAGGAGATATGCAAATGCAAATATCTGAGGGTATTCTTCGTAAATACAAGCAAGAGACGTGTTTTTGGATAAAGTACTAGGGTTGGAAAAATATATTTTGGCTAAAAATGTCAGCTGAAAAGGCTGTATCAAAGGGTCTGACCAAGGGGAGGCTCATCGTCTGTCCTGTTGGAGGCGTAACAGGTTTTTGGATGCAGTTGTTATACTTCGAAACCGAAAGATTCAATTTTTTTTTCTTTAACCGAACGTAGTGTCGTAATTTTTCGTCATATGTTCGGCATGTACTTATATAGTCGGATCTTAAAGTGTGAGATATCAGTGTCTTCGAGAAGACAGTTTTTTCATTACATAGTTCATTGACCTCAAGTACCTCGTTCTAGTACTTACTCATCAATTCAATGTTCCTACCAGCCCAACGTACCAGTAAATTAAAGCTCTCCAAAAATTATTAAACTTTTGCTAAGGAGATTCTTTGATCATTCTAGCAGAACTTACAAAAATGTTGATAATATCGAAAGCATTGGCTATCTTTACTTGTAGAGAGACCATAGGCATTGAAAAATTCGAGAATTTACAAATTAAATTAAAACTTAAATAAACCAAAAATCGTAGTCTCTAGCAACCAGTTGATATTTTTTTTTCTACAAGGAATCCAAACTCCTCTTTGGAGTACGTTTGTCGTGGAGCAACAAATAGCAACTGCTAATGAAAATAAAACAGGACAGCACTTGGAGCGTAGTTAGAAAGAACTTCCAATCGCGACAACTGTGCATGCGCTGGAAATTCATTCAGAAATATTTGGCGGCATTTTCGCTCTCTGTTGACATTTTTCAACAAATAACATTGCCAACGACAGGTATGTTAAGCAAAAACCAGATGTTAGCGAGCATTAAACGATGTCCGAGACTCGGCCGAAATCCACTATGCGCTCGTCCTTATTAAGCCATGCGAGGACATAAATTCAGTCAGTTATTTTCCAAACGTGCCGGTGTGAAGAATAGAAAATTCCGAGAAAAAAAAGGGAAATAAGCGCTCCTCGGACGGTGAAATAACAGTTTGTGCTAAAGCATCAAAACGCGCCAATATATTTAGAGTTGGCAAAGAAGCATTGTGAGTTGGGAGAAGTGTGTTTCTTTTATTTATTTGTGTGTTTATGTGCACATTAGACGTACATATGTATACACATCCAGCAGCAATTTGTTGCTTTACTTTTGATGGCACTGTTTGTGCAATAACATTCGCCGCGAGTCGAGTGTGTGTGTGTGTTTGTGTTTGTGTTTGTGTTTATGTGAAATGTTGGCAACTTGGCTGTCTGTTAATGTTGCAATTATATGCGTAAATTGAATTGAATTTAAATGCTTCCGCCTGACAAGAAGGAAAGAAGCGTAAACAGCAGGTTGCCGACGCGGTTACCGACGCGGTTGCCGACGCGGTTAGTTATAATAAAAGCGCCTAAGGAAATCAGACAGACACAGGCAGAGACAAAACAGACAGAGCAGAAGGAATGAAAATGAAAAGCGACAGGATAAGGGCCTATCTACTACTTAGATGATTATTAGATGCCCAGAGGAAAAGGGATTTTTTTAAACGCGTAAAACTTACGATTTAACAAATTTCAAAAGGAAGTGGCACTGAGTGCGAAATTAAAAACAAAGTGGAATTTAATGCTTAACAAATGGAAAATGCAATTTAATAAAGACTTTTAAACTTATTTATATATTTCGAGTAATTTGATAGCAATTTGAACAATAGTATGAGCGTGAACGCTTTCTGGTTCAATTTTAAATGGTTTGCTTTCTTTTTACTCGACTTCACAAAAAATATATATATTTTTTTATTCTTTTTTATTTAATTTTTTTCCCCCATTCTAATTTGGTTGAAACCAGATCATTGGATCGTGATGAGGTAAACGACAATCTTAAATATTTATCTGAGAATTGAAGTCGGTTTTGTTTTTTGCTTACAAATTACTTGTTCTCAATATTGCACACTACATATATATTGACTAAATAACCCCCCTCTGTTCCTCACTCGGTATTGCTTATTTTTACGTAAACTTGTGTAAATACATACGTATATGTGTATGCTCAAGGAACTGATCTCATAAAAGGAAAAAGAAAACATATACATACACGTGCACCACCCATAAAAACCAAAAATATAAAAAAGGAAATAAAAACCGTTTGAAGCTCAGCCGTTGCTGCTTTAACTGTGTGCCTGCCACTACCTAAAAACACTCTTCTTCCCCCATGTCCCTTGGTAGTAATTCTAGCAGCAAAGTTAACGCACTTTCGTAAGCTCTCTGTTAATGACTGCTTGGAGAATTTGGTCCCAAAACATGAAATATTTATGTAAAAAACGTACCAAATCCGGAAACACGAATTAAAGAAAAGCAAATTTGCGCGAAAAAGTAATCAAATTACGAATAAAGCAATACTATCAGCACAGCACAAAACACAACAAAAAATAAAAAATCGAATGCCAAAGCGAGCAGTGGCAGTACATCAGTACTTATGCTTTGCGCCAGCGGTGAGAAAAACTTAAAATTGCCAAAAGTTTTCTTTCAAAAAAATTTAAAGCACTGAAAAAACTCAAAACGGACTTGTAAAATAGAAGCACAGATATGTAGACAGATTGTGGTTCAAAGAAAACCTCAAAAAAAAATATACACATTTATGCAAACATATGTATGTATGTGCTCAGATTAACTATACAGTGGACGTCCAATACAAGGAATCTTGTGCGCCTCATTCGTAGTTAGTATCGAAAAATTCTTTAAATGTAGTGACTGTTTTTTCGATCATTTTTAACCGTTATAATGTGACTAAGTTTTTATGACCATTTTAAATCTTTTATGATCTAAAAAATTAAGTGTGAAATGATAATAGTAATCAAAAGTAACGTTGAAAAATTGGTCGATAAAATAGAAATCCAAAAATAAAGATTATGCTTGATCGAAAACAAACGAATTTCCAAAAATAACTGTTAGATTTGATTGGAAAACCAAAAATCCAATTTTAACGGTTAAACTATGATTTTTATTATAAATATCATCGCCGTTACGATTTATGGAAAAATTTTATGTTTAGAATTTATATATAGGTACACCTGCGGTCAGGTAATTTGCACCGAAATTGAAAATCATATTGTTTCCAACTTATATTTATTTATTTATTTTTAAGAAATTTTCATTTAAAATATAATTCAATCTATAACAGAAACCACATAAATAAAAGTCTCAAAGCTTGCTCAAATTAAAAAAAAAAAAATTTAAAATCAAACTTTAAAAAACTGTCATTAAAATTTCAAAATTTGTTGAAGAATAATGTTTAAAAAAGATTTTGGGTAGGCAGTTTTTAGCCCACTCAATTCTACTCAAGTCGCTAAAGATTACCGTTGATTTTGATCGATTTTTTGTTTTGTGAAGGGTGTTGCGGATTTTTTTTTCATATAAACAAAAATTTTGATCATGCATTGTATGGAAGAAAAAGCGCAACACCCTCCACACCAAAGAAAAAAAATTTAAAAAATTGTAAATTAAAAGTATTAAATAAAAGAATAAGCATAAGTTGAAACAAAATCATTTCAGGTGCTAATTAGTTGACCGCACGTGTATATATAGTATTTAAAGCAAAGGCAGACTAGGGAAAAATTCAGTTCAACAATTAGCTAAGTTGAATGAAATGTTGACTACAGACCTGTTTTTCCAACAGAAGGTGGCCATATGCAACAATATGCAATTTTTTTTTTGTCGAGAGCATGGTAGCATTTTTAAATCCAAAATAGTTTGTTGGCAATTGATAAAGTATTACAAACATATAATCCGCTTGGGGAAATAAAGCCGATTTTTCTTTATATGACCCAGTCTGATCTACATTTCTTTCGGCTTCAGTAGCGATTATATTCAAAGTGTTTGAAATCAGATGAAATCCTAGCCCTCCTACCATATATTACTCGTAGTAGCTTTTTAAAATAAATACGTGCCCCGAAGATATTAAATTGCGTTTTGCCCGAATTTAATTCTCCTTACTTGCATTTTTGAATCAGAGTTTGGGAGAAGGTAATGCAGGTAGAGGATAAAATCGTTAAGCATAAGTTGCTTAACACTTCCCCATGTATGCAAATAAACTTTACTTACATACCTACATACTTAAGTATAATCAACACGCATACAAATGCACCTAACGCTCGGTGTGTAGTCGTTTGAAGATCTTCAGGCCACACCTCAAGCATTGATGCAATGTCAACAGTGTCGAATGTGACCGTACAAACATACACTTAGTTAATGTATGTAATATACATATTCACAAAAAAAAATACGGTTATAAAAAAAAGCGCATGTAAAAAAAAAATTGAAGTTAAAAACACTCAACCAAAGGAGATTTTGTTTTTTCCAAAGGCTTAAATGTACATATTTGCGTGTGTGTAACTTAATTTAAATACATTAGGGTGCCTCACCAAACAAGTTTTAAGATTTGGGTGAGCTAGACCGATTTTAAAATACCACCAAAAATCTCATTATTAAGATTCCGTTGATAAAAATTTTAAATTTTTGTGCACATCTTTTAAGCTTAGGCTCTTCTAACATTTGCCTTGTTTTTTTAGAAAAAAAATTAAATACTAATTTTACTTATAAATAACTCGATTTTGGGAGTATTTTTCTGAAATATTTGGCGGAAGTCTGAAAATATATGAATTCCTATGGAAAAGTAGTCCAAATTTTTTTTAATTTTTTATTATTTTTTTGTTGGAGCATGATGCACCCTAATATGCATTTAAATTTACATATGTGCGCATTCGTTTGGTAATGCGTATGAGTGTGCATTTCTGCAGTAATGGCAGTGCAAAAGTGCACTAAATTAATTTTATGTGTGAAGTCACTTGTAGGCAAATGTGGATAAAAAATTACGTGAAAAGTGCATAGTGACAAGTGAGAGGCGTTGTAGTGTTACTTGTGTTCACATTTGCGCATATACATACACACAAAGAGACAAATGCATATACAAGTAGTATATGCCGGCAAAGAGATGCGCGACAGCACGGCGCTGAGCAATCAACGAAAACATGTAGAAATTCTCCAGAGCGCCATATCCTATTAAACTTTGTTTTTCATTGCAGTATTTTTTGCAATAAACTGAACATCCGATAAGCTGGTGAAAAGCAACGCGTTTGACAAAAAAAAGGCTAAAAACAACAATAAAAAACTTGTATAGCCACAACTAGGCATATATCACATATCCGCGCTGCGCTGTTTAAGTACAAGCGGCAAGTTTTTTGTTTCCCTTCAGCTTTTCGCTGCTAGGAATTTTTCGTTATTGCTTTTGCATTGTTTTTGTTTTTGTTTTTTTTTTTTGAAAATTTCTCACTTATTCGTTTTCAACGCACCCCGCTATTTAATATTGAGATGGACAATGTGCAACAAATACAACAAACACAACGCCAGTCGGTGCTGCAACAACAGCGGAAACAGTAGTAGCAGCAGCAGCAGCAACACCACCACCACCACCACCCCCATCAGCAGCTGCATATGGGTGTTTAATCTCTTGGCGGTGGCCTTATTAATCCAACATGTCGCCTGTGTCGCACAAGCCAGCGAGCATGTTTCCGTTGTGGCAACAGCAACAACAAAGCCGACCACCAACACCGTCATTCCATTCTCGCTCACACCACCCACAGTGTTGCTAGTGAAGCGTCATGTTGACGTTCGGGGCGGCAACAACAAAAAGGTTCAGGCGGCACATGCAGATGGTGGGCTCGCGAGTCGCGCTACGAGTCGCCACCTTAGCACAATTGACGACGTCGGCAGCGAAAGCAGCAAAACAGCTGGCGATGGACTGAATTTCGCCGCCTATGTAAACGGTAAGTTTCAAGCAAAAAACATGCAACATGGGAAATTTATTTATAAAATTCCTGCAAAATAAATAAAATATACACAGTCACATATATAGTCACAGGGATATACATATGTATGTATATGGGGCGTTCCATACCAAAATGGACGGGGCTTTACACTTCATGTGTTTGATTTATTTCATCTAGAGTTGATGGATAAACAAAAATAATAAACAAATATGAAATTTGAGCTTGATTAAAACATTTTTAAAAACTTTACAGCACAAAAACAAAAAAAAACCGATTGAATAGTTTTCCAAATATCTCGAGAACGGGGCGAGGAACAAATTCAAAAAAAATCTTACATACACAAATCGAAATTCTCTATGAAAAGAAATATTTTTTAAATTTTTATCTTGAAAAAATTGTCACATAACAATTTTTTGTTAAAAAATTGCAATCGCTTAAAACTTGCACCTGATTATACTAAAATTTAATTTAATGGGCTACAAAACTGCATACTCAAAAAAAAACTAGAAAAATTTTAAAAATTTTTAAATTTTGTAATGTACTCGTTTTACTCAACATTGGTTAAAAAAACATTCATAACTCAAATTATTGTAGAGTGCACCCCATAATACTATGCTTAAATATTGTGCAATACTCAGAGCTACCATTGTGATTTCTTTTAAAATTTTTTTTTAGTTGGCATATTTTCAAAAACTCTTTTTTTTATCAAAAAATTTGTATGTGAAAAAATTTTCAAGAAAAAAAAAGAGTTTAGTTATATTACTTTACGTAGAGATTTTAAATGTGTGTATGTGTGATTTTCTTTAAATTTTTTCTTGTTTTTTTTGTGCTGTAAAGTTTTTATAAATATATTAATCAAGCTCAAATTTCATATTTAAAAATTTGAAACAAATCAATCACATGAAGTGTGAACCCCGTCCATTTTGGTATGGAACGCCCCATATATACATACATACATATCACGTAAAA